CCTCTCCGCGGCTGCTCATCGCCCTCGGCTCCCGCCTCCGCGCGTCCCTCCTGCACGCCTGTAAGTGCTGGGATGGCGCGGCCGCGCGGGAGCTCTGCTGACCCGACCGCCGCCAGCCCCAGGCCAATGAAAACCGCCTTGAAACTAACAGCGTTCCTGCAAAATTAAGGGATTAATTTCTGCCTTCAATAGTGTAACCTCGACTTACCTGAAATAATTAAAAAAAATATTCTCCTTTCAGGAAATAAAATGTTAAAAATCAAAGTCATCAGTTACTGATCTATTTTGAAAGGGAAACAAAGAGTTGAGGCTCCCATTCCACTTTTAAAACGTCAGACTGCGAACAAACTAATGTAGCCTGAACTTTGAAAATACATGAATATCATGTTGTTATGCAGAAGAAAAAAGTGAAGGCAATTTCAAAATGTAAATCACACGTTTTCTAGTACTCTGGAAGTCACAAGAGTGAAAGATTGTCACTAGCCAACAGTGTTCGAATATTTGAGATACTTTCATGCTCGCTAAAAATCATGTGTGTAAGTAAACACTTGGTTAGTGAAGACAAATTGCTGGACCAGCTGATGGCATACTGGTTAGGTCGCTGGACTCTGGTGTAGTCCACAGTGGTTTGATTCCCAGGCCCTGTGGCTTAAACTATGCCAGGCGCCTGTGTGCCCAAGATCCCAAGAGAAGAATAGAGAAGGGATTGTGGTGTGGCCATGGTGGGGGAGGGGGGCGAGGAGGGCTGATTTCTAGCTTTCTGTCTCTGACTCTCTCTCTCCAGCCACCACACATGCCTGTAGCAAAAATCTCTCTTAAAAAATAAATATATAAAAATATAAAGACAAATTGCTTGGAAAATCTTTCAGAGGATTGTGACTAAAAGCATGCTTCATGAAAGCAGTCTCCTGCCTTCTCTAACAGGATTCCAATTCTCTGGCTGAGGAGCGCTAACCTGCAATCCAGCCAGAGTTGCCAAGGTGGCCAAGCAGGTGCAGACCTGGACCGGGACATCACTCTCTCTGAACCTCAGATCTTCTTGGAAGGGGAAATTAATCCAGGCATCTCACCAGTTCCTTTTGAGGATTGAATGAAATAAACTAAATATTGGTTCTCTCCAATTCCTAGTTTCCCTCCACCTTCTTTAGGGACAGTCAGTAAATTAAAACTTGGATTCTCTGGTCTAATGAACTCCCCTTCCACAAGAGCAGGCAGAGCCTCAGTGAAGTTCTTCCCTTGTCCTTCGCGTTGCATTTTAGAGAAGGCCTGGGATACTGAGAAAAAGCCTGTAGGATCAGAAGTCCAGGCGCTTCCCTTTACCCCTCAGTTCTCCAGGAGCTACGTAAAGTCGGCTCACATGGAGTTTCGTGATGTGTGTGAAGAATGTACAAGAGATTCAGAGGCTATGTCCATTAGGTACTATTTAAGAAAATGCATAATGGTTACATCACTGGACTCCCACATGGCTGACTGTGGTTCGAGTCCTAGACCCGGCGACTTTAAACTCATGCCAGGTGCGTGTGCATGTGTGCCCAAAATCCCAAGAGGAGGATGGAAGAGAAGGGATTACATGCAGTCATCTCCCCGGCGGGGGTGGGGGGGCATGATTTGTCACTTTCTGTATCTGTCTCTCTGGTGAGTGCATGTGCCCTATAGCAAAAATCTGTCTAAAAAAGAAAAAAAAATAAAATGTTAGTGAAACAAAAAAGATCACTGCTATGTAATATGTACTATACACACATATACATGCACATACAGTCTCATCCTCCAGTATCTATGAGGCATTGGTCCCAAGAGCCACCTTCCAATAAAATCCCAGGATGTTTGAGTCCTTCATATAAAGAGCACAGTACACTATAACGTTTGTATATGCTCCTGTGTACTTTATATATGCTATAGATTACTTATATTCCTAAGGGAGTGTAAATGTTACGTATATAGTTGTTATATTGTATTGTTCTTTATTTCTATTTAGTGTCATATTGTTATGTTTTATTGTTCTTTTTCAAATATTTTAATCTACTTTTGGTTGAATCCATTAATGTACCCATGACTACGGAGGGCCAACTGTATATTGATGTATATGATGTCTTTGTGTATAAATACGTATGTGTGTATTATATATATGTAGGAGTGTGTGTGTATATACCTATATATATATGTTTCTAAGTATCAAACATTTGGAGATTTTCTAGCTTTGTGTGTTTGTGTGTGTGTAAATTTCATCCATGAGCAAGAAAGTGAGGGAGAGATAGGGAGACAGCACCCCCGATGGGGTCCTCAAGTGGCAGTCCATCTCCTGCTTCAGCTAGTCCTGTCGCAGGCATGTCCAAAATGTCCCCTGGCGTCTTCCATGAGGGTGAGCCTTGAAGAGCACCGCATTACTGTGGAGCCACTTTCCAGCCTCCCTCTCCAGTTTTTTTTTTTGCTATTGATTTCCAACTTAATTATACTACAGACAGAACACAATACGATTTCAGTTCCTAGGCATTTGTTGAAACCTCCGGCTCAGGAAATAATTGGTTGTCGGGGAAGTCATGACTTATTTTTCTATGCAAAAATGAGTCATGACTTTCCCAGTGACCCAATTGTTATTTTTCTGATGAGTTCATGTATGCTTGATCATAATGTGTATTCTGCATTTGTTGAGTGTAAAACTCTTCGTATGTCAACGAGTCAAATGTATTATGCTGTTTGAAGCTTTCTACTGATACATTTGTCTGAATGATTTATAAGTTTCTGAGAGATGTGTGAAACAATCTTAATCAAGGGTTGTACATTTCTTTATTTATGCTTCTAGTTGTGCTCATTATTTTTAAAATATTTATTTATTTATTTATTTATGCAAGTGTGCTATAGGGCATATGTGCTCACCACAGAAAGACAGAGAGAGAGAAAGTGAGAAAGCAAGATACCAGTTCTGGGATTCGAATTGCCATAAGCCACACCACCTGCTGCACAGTGGTGTTAATTTTTTACAATATAATTTGATGCTGTACTATCATATATACAGAAATATAAGATGATTTTTTGTTAAGCTTGTGAAATAGGCTCCTTTATCATTATAACCGGATTATACTGATTTTATCATTATTGTTTGATTTTCATCAAATAATTTTATATAGTCTCATTGTCATGTATAATTATATCACAGTATATGATGCATCGTTATTATATAATACTTCAGCATTATAACCTGATTACCTTTTATCACTATACCCTCAACTTGGTTACCTCTCGCTGTATGTAGTCTCCTTTGCTATCACTACAGCTCCGTTGTTTCCCTTGTTATTACCATAAAATATCTTTTTGAAAATGCATTTAGTTTCTGTTTTCATATATTTAAAATATGTAAACATCATAAAGTTGTTTTCAGGCCAGTCTGATAATATTTGTGTTTGAATTGGAGTATTTACTTCATAAAGCATTTCACGTAAGTTATAATATTAGTGTTTTTTTTTTTTGGAGAGAGGTTTTCACTATAGGGCGCATGCACTCGCCAGACAGACAGAGAGAGACATAGAGACAGAAAGCGAGAAATCACCCCCCAGGGGGGATGGCCATGCCGCAATCCCTTCTCCCCCATTCTCCTCTCGGGATCTTGGGCATGCACACACACGCGCCCAGCGTGAGTTTTAAGCCACCGGGTCTGGGACGCGAACCGCGGTCAACTACGTGGGAGTCCAGTGACATAGCCATTATGCTAACTGCTGGTTCCCAGTGTCCTTACCGTCCGAATGGTTCTGAATGTTTGTGCCCCCTCCCCCAGATTCATATATTGAAACTCAGGGGTGGGGTGATATTTGGGGATGAGGTCTTTGGGAGGTGATTACGTCATAAGAATGGAGCTGCCTGAACACAATTCGTACTCTTACAGAAGAGGCCTCAGAGAGATCCCTGGCCCCTTCCACCCTGTGAGGTTGCAATGAAAAGATAGTCGTCTAGGAAGCAGCCCTCATCCCAGCACTGCAGTCTCGGACCTCCGAGCCTCCAGAACTGTATAAATAAGTTTCTGTTAGTTTAGAAGCCCCTGCTTTATGGTGTTTTGTTATCGCAGCCTACATGGACTAAGACATGGGTAAACTGGGTATACACTTGCGGTATTCTTTGTTCTCTAGCTTGCCTGTCTCGTCTCTGTTCTTTTTTCCTTTCTTACATTCTTTTGAGGTAAATTTTTTCTTAGTCAGTTTCTCCCAGTCCACTAACTTATTATGTATACATGTTTTTCTCATCTTTTATAGGTGCACTAGAGATTATAATACTCATCCTTGACTTATAAATATCTGCTTTAAATTAGTACTTTAGTAATCTCCCACACAATGCAAGAACTTCTTAATGTTTAAACTCCATTTACTATCCTCCTCCTGGTGCTGTCGTTAACACATATTCTGAATTTAGGGGCCAGACAGTGGTGCATTAGTAAAACGTGAGACTCCATAAAGCTGACCCACATGGAAAAGCTCTAGGTTTGTGTACGGAGACCTCCCCGAGTACACTGGACAGGCACGTGCCCATGATCCATAGCTGGCTGGAGCTGGAGGGAGACCTCAGCGTCGAAACCCTGCTGGGGTACGTTTCTCTCTCTCTCACTCATGGCAGAAGTAAACTTTAAAAAAATAGAACAAATCTGCATGTATTTTAAACCCTACAAAACATTGTCATTGTTTTAAATCAGCCGTGTATTTCTGGTATCC